TAAGTGCTCTTTGATTTCTGGAGAGCATGTGTAAAATTCTAACCCGCTCTAAAGCAGACCTCAGCCTGGGGTGTGACAAGCTGACCGCCGAGAAAGGAAGTGCAACCAAAGTGCACAACCCGCGGGATTGTCGCTCCAGAAGCTGTATGGACGCATGGCCCAAAGATCCGCCTGCAAACGCCCAGGCTTTTCTTTCGCCCTATCCCCGTCCGATCACTGCCGCAGTGTGATGAGTGGCTTCTGCGCTTTTGCAAGGGCAGGGGGCACATGTTGTCAAACGGGTTAGACATCTCACTGGATCACCCAACATTGAACGATGCCAATGCCTTCAGGCATCAGAAGCTCTGTCTTCTTGAACTTGTGAACCCCACAAGTTCTGGAAAACCCATGTGCCTTTTGCGGCTATGCTGTCAAGTTCTCTCCAATCGAGCTCTACACGAGGAACTGTTGCCTTCTGCCTTTGCTAGTAAGGCAGAGGAGGAGCTTGCTGGTGGGAACATTTTACATCTTCATGCCTGCAGTTCTTCTCTGCGATATGTCGTGTTCCCTTGACAAGCCACCCTCTCGCTAGGCGATTGCTGCTCTGGTCCGCGATGCGATGGCCGTTGGTGCCTTTGGCTTTTCCACATCCAGGCTGCTGGTGCACCGTGATCCCGATGGCAACTGGACTTGCATGAAATGTAGGGGTACCGTGGTGTGTGAACCTAGAATCCCACACCTTAATGTTTGCACTATGATAGGTGTGTTGAATCGAGAACCGTACTGTACTGTAACAGCAACAGCATACCTGCACGTGGATTTCAGCTGCAAACATGATGGTACATTGATCAACGAACTTCAGAGACAACTCTTCCTGAATTCGTTCGACGCCTCGGGCTCCGACTTAATCCATATGCAGATCTTGAAAATGTAAAGCAGGTTGAAGAACATGGATCAACGTGCGTGTGAACAACGAAGCAGCCCTTCTCTACGCACTGGAATGCTTGATGAGCATCTGAGTTTGCCTCCCTCCTTTGCTGAGTGTCTTCTCGCACTTCTTCCGAATGTGGGTACGAAAATCTTGGCCTGTGTTTGCCTAATGAGAACAAGATTTGTTGCGGTTAGCTGCCGTGCCAGGTACGTTGACGCCTGGGGCATTATCCAGTAGGGAGGAACTAACAGCCATCGCGCAAGCTGTCGCAGAAGGTGGAGGCGGCGCGTTCGAGATGTCGACTGATTTTAGCACCTACGACGATGTGCCGTACCAGGATATGGACCAGAAAAAGTTGCAAAAGTACCGCATGCGTGAGGTTGGATGGCTCATGGATATTGCGCGTAAGCACGGCAAAGAAGTTGGCATTTCTTTCAACTGCTTTCCGGATCCAGCCGCCCATGCACTGCCCCTACTTCAAGCCATTGCTGACGCTGGTGGCCTGGTTCGGGGGCAGTGTGTGGCCCGGGCACAAGGTCTTCTGCAGGCGTTTGGCTCCCGAGCGCACCCGTTTACCGTGAGCCAGACCTTCATGAGCATCCAGAAGCGCTGCCGGGACTCCGGCTTAGACTTGCTGGCGACGCTTCGCAGGTCTGGGCAGCGTGACACGATAATCAAGGACACTGGGCCCAAAAGAAGCAGTAGTTAAGCTTGGTTTGGGTTGTTGAGTGGCCATGCTACCAGCATTTAACAGCACGACAAGTAGAAAGAAGACTATTGCCCACTGCAAGTTTGTGAGGATTTTCCGCACCATCTTCACAGTTCGACTCTCAAGACATCATTGACCCCCTATACAAATAGATCGCGTTTCCTTGCTTGCGGACTGCGACAGAGTATTATCTGTATGCAGATATATGAGAGCTGCCCAAGCTCTCTTCCCTTTGCAAGATTGTGGATAAGTAGGCAGCATTTGCTCACTCTGTAGTCTGGTCGAGCTAAGGAGGCCATGCAGTTCTTCGCTACACCCATGAAAGGTTATTATGCATATTTGCAGGAGTTCTTCTTGCCTTTCAGCGAGCATTTTCCGTGGACCCCGCAATATGAGCCAAAGAGGGGGGTCGACAGCTTTGAGGCGATTGCAGCAAGGGAGGGCCGGTCCGTAGGTGAAGTGTATTATGATCACCTGATCAACGGAGGAGTGGCATGGAAGCCCTTTTCGAATTCATATAGCTGGGGAGGTTACGACATGACTTGCACCATGCTGAACCACCCGCTGATCATCCCTGGGTTTGCCGATGCTGGAGCCCATGGGACAGTCTTCCAGGATGCGGGCATTGCGACTCACATGCTCTCCTACCTTGCTCGAGACCGTGCCAAGGGTCCAAAGTTGAGCGTGGAGCATGCAGTCTTCAAAAACACGCTAGAGATTGCCAGATTTTTCGGCTTCACAGATCGCGGCGCGTTGCAAGTTGGCATGTCCCCTGTCCGAAGTTACAGCTTTCCGTTTCCGTAGGCTTTCGGACTGGTTGTCCAGGTGTGTCAGCTCGCGGATTCTGCCTGCATGCTTGCTAATTAAGGAAAGCCGACATCAACGTGATTGATTTCCAGAGACTCAGCATCTTGGATGCATGCCTGAGTCTACAGTTTACGGCCGGCTTTAGTTGAGAAATGTCGTGCAATCCATTTTCGGACAATTCCATGTCAACCACTAAATCTGCCAGATGACATAGCATGAAGCACTTGCTCGTTGGGTTGCAAAAATCGTAGGCTACTTGAGAGTGATGGGTGCGGTGGCTTCCTGTTGCTGAAGAAATGCCAATTGTGTTTTTCTAGGTTCCATGCGTCTAGTTGTAAAGTATATCCGGGGTCAGTTTCCCCGATTCCCTTACCAAGCTAGACTCAGGCGCCGGCCAGCCGTACGTTTCTCGAGATATGCCACTGGGACAGGAGCCCGCAGTAGGGAATGTCGGGGTTGAATGAAGGAAGGTCCGCTTACAGCAGGTTGCATGCAGGTCTGTGCTTTCAGAAGGATCAGAAGATTCCCCGCACAGGACCGGTGGCTGCAGGATGTAGAGGGGTACTGCCTCACTCTGCTCTCCGGACAGCCTACCTATATGCAGCTTGGCCTGCAAGGCTCAATCCCAAGAACTGCACCCTTCCAGCCCTGAAGGTTGCCCAAATCCGGAAAACATGTAGAGCCATGTAATCGGTGCCATATTGTATCAATCTGTTTTTCGACCTCAGTGATTCGACACTTCTGTGCACAGAACCAAGGCACGGGCGGAGCACTGGAGTTCTCCCCGGGCGCCTGGTCCGAAACCCACGGAGGAACCGGGAGGCCTGGCAGGGCGTCGCATGGAAGGCCGGGCACTGCTGATGGAGTTTGCGTCGTTTATGGCTAGGGGGTTCGAAGACAGACCCTTCATATGTTTTGGCCCCTTCATATGTCTTGGCCGTACCTTTTAGGGACCGTTTAGGTTTGGGAGCAACAATCGAGGGACGACCATTGGCATCTTGACATAGGAGTCCTGCTGTAGCGCTTCTATGACATCTATGGATTCATTAAACTATGTATCGAGAGAGGGAAACTTGACAGTGTTCTTATAGGGTTGTCTGGGCTGACGATGTTGCTGTGGAGAAGATGCATTGCTGCCGTGGTTGGATATTCAGCATGTCAAGGTTCTGGTGTCACGGACGTTCGGGAGACATGTTAGGGGAAGTGTGGGCTCGTTTCCAGGGCCCGACTTTTGATTTGTGGCTTCAGCGCTTCAGATTCTGGTCCTATGGATGCTTTGCTGCAGATGTTCATCAATCAGGGTGACTTCGGAAGTTGTCTTCGATCCTGGAATTGTCTTGTTTGTCGTTCAGGTTGGTACTCTGTTAGAAAGATCCCAGCGTTGCCTGCGGTGTGAACGCCAAGGGAGCTTTAAGAAGAACGTGGCTCACTTCCCGCCAGATGATGCGTCGATTTCCAATTTGCCAAAAGGCTGGCGCTCCATACTGTAAGTCAACACCAGCAGGCCACTGGACGTAGAAGCACTTGATGAGAGCGAACAATTCATGGCCCGCATCGCTTTACCTCCAGAATTCTGAGTATGCACGAGCATCTGTAGTTCAAGGTATGTCGAGGGCCTACCATAGTTTTCCCTCAGACGGCCCGCTGGAGCAAGCGGGAGCACAAGCCCACCACCTCTTCCAGGTGTCCGGAGACTTCACTGGTGGATTGAAGAAGGACTGCGGGGGCTTAGCAATGCTACAGACATTTGAGCAGGAGCATGCCTGTTGCCCGAGAATGTAGTGGATGGAGGTCTAGAGACCGGGACCTTGCACCCTCAGAGCAGAACAAAAGAGCATTTGTCAAGTGCGAACACTAGATCAACATCTCTTCTTGGGTCTGCTGATCGCGAAAGGTTTTTGCAAGGAGGAAGGCATCCTGTCAATTTCTGCCAAGCAAGCAGTAAAAGCCCTTGCGCTCAGGAGGTTCCCGCTGTTATGGCCATGAACCCCAAGGGCGGCGCCAGCGCAGCTGCCCGGATCCTGCGAAACACCGTGGAAGAACGTGCCTGGGGTCCTGATTGTATGTTTTGTAGTCTTTAATTGTTTTTCACTTGGCATAGCATTACAGGTAGCTGAAGCAGCGAATTTAATCGAAGTAGAGTTTTTTTTGGGTTCCCGGCAATGCTGCAGGCAGTCGATTGTGAGTGCTGGCAGTTCTCATTCTATTTTCTGAGCTTCGATGCTTTTGAGTGGATGCCTAGCCCCAGATGCTACTTGGCGTCCGCTGTTCTGCTCTCCATACTTCCCTTTCTAAGTGGTCAACACCAAAAAGGTAGGCCGTAGGTGAGCCACATTACAGTAGCAAATCATTTGAAAATCACGTTCTCACCCAGAAGCTTGACGTTCCCGATTCCGCATATGCCTAAACAAAAGTGCGCTGGCAGGCCGGCTGAGTAGAGAGCACAAAAAAGACTGAGGAACTAAAACAAGATCGGGCCCTGACACTTGATTCAGTAACACTTGGATGCTTGTTGCAGAGTCGTTGTTCGCATCCCTTTGCAAGCTGAGAAAGGGTGGCAGCACTGCCTGGGAGGCTGGTGCCCGGGATGCCGCCATGGTCGCAGAGCTGGCCGCACGGATCGTGGGCCAGGGAACTGAGGTGGGAGGACTCAGAACCTATGGACCTATGGCTGGGGGTCAGGCTTGAGGCTTTTGCACACGGGCGGCCTTGAGGTGAGACATCTCAGCGGTACCATGTATGGATTGTACTTAGAAGCATCTGCTGGGCCGAACTTTTTTTTGATCCTGTTGAAAACCATAGCTTTGTATGGTGATGCCATGTGGCACTTCATGCTTCTGCGTTTTTTTGTTCTGCGCATGAAGTGAAGCATGAAGGCTTTCTTCGCTCGAGTTCTCTTTTAGAGGCGAATCTCAAATTGTCAGAGTCAAATCAATACCGGTCATGACTGGAGTCCTGCGAACCGAGGCAGAGAGGCCTTATAGTTCCAATGGTAGGGCCCAAGCTGCAAACTCCTTGGATCTGCTTGCAGCTGGGCGACCTCATCCCGCTGGAGGCCATCCCAGGCGTGCGGCGGGGTGCAAAGATGATAAGCTTTGAAGAAATTACTCCCAGCAACCCAATTTCTGCTGTTTCTGACCGAGCCCACAGCACCAAACAGCGAACCCAACCTCTGAATCAAACGCGAGAGGACTACAGGTCTCAAATCTTCAGCTCTCAATCCTGCGAGCTGTCCAGCATGAAGGGAGCCAGCATACAGGTATCCAACATACAGGTTCCAAGGGTTCAAATTGAAACATCACCAAACAAGCTTCAATTTCTGACCAGGCATGGAGCGAGCAACATGCGTGGCGCTGCTGGGAGTTCTGAAGGCACCACTTAGTCCCAATTCACATATATGCCAATAAGATTGAAAAGGACAGTTCCACTCTCATTCAGGGCTGCACCCAAGAAGATACTGAAAGAAGCAGCGCGGCCACCCTTCAAAGGGGTGAGGCAGATTGCTGTAGCAGCTCTGGGAATTCTGCCAGTGACCCGAGTATAGGTGCAATCGCCAAGTCTAGATAAGCCTAGCACATTGAAATTGGCATTCAGTGCACCGAGCGACCTCAATGCAAGCTCATGTGCTTAAAGTGCGGCGCACGGGGCTAGCAGCAAGGGATGCAAACCCGACAGCTTACAAGATATTCTGCAGGAACCCAGCGTGCCTGCAGATGTAGCAGAGGCGCGGATGGCTTTGAATGGTCATGAAGCATCCCTGCCCGAACCCAAACCCTGCTACCGGCACCTGAAAGAACATGTGAGTCATGGCCGTTCATGAGGGCTGTTTCTGGCAGGTTCAATTCCTGGACCGCATCGTTCAGGGCATGTCAGGGAATGTAGAGTTGTAGCGCAAGTCGTTTCATTTTTAGGGGAAGGGTTGCTGAATAGCTTGTGCCCCCAAGTATTGTGGTGTGAGGCCGCGCTGGCCTCTGAGGTGGGGCGTAGGCAAGGTGCTGCCTGAATTCGCTTCTGCAATTCGGGGAGTTTTTGTTTTTTTCTTCTTTTCTGGGGGCTTTAGGACCCTTGCCCCATCCCTGAACCTTGCGCGCATTGATAGGTGGCCGATGTCGAATTTGCTAAACCTTATGTGATGACATGCCACGACGGTTGAAGACTAAGCAGCAAGAGTACGGAGTCTGTTGCAATTGAAGTTGATCGCCTGTGGAGACCATTTACCAGCGCACCGCCAAACTAATGCCGCACAAGTGGTAAGGAACGCCACATGACACGGCATGCCGACTAGGCAAGACAATGGAAAACCAACCTTCAAATACACAACGCTAGCCTCGATCAGAGCGAAAATGGTCTAAGTCAATGTGGCAGGGTAAACGCTGCAGGCTTGTACCGTCGACTTTCGTGCAACAGCACTTCGGCATGTGCCCAAATACACCAAAATCCTGGCAGGTTGGCCGGGCAGGCAGAGTCCACGGAAGAAGGGGAGGCTGCCGTTGCGACACTGATCTTGGTAGCGGCAGGAGTTGCTGCAACTGGCATGCGCTTTATATTGGGCTTACGTGTCGGGGCTTTGGCTTCGAGGGTGGTTGCCGTGGTCCGCAAACTGGCTAATGGCCATTGCTCGCTGCTCAATGAAGATATCAGGAGAAGCCTCAGGCCTCGAAAAGCCCTCTTAGTGCTCAGAGACTTGAGCATGTGCAGCCTGGACAACGATGATGCCTGACGCAGGCCAAGCGCAAAGTGGTGGCTCCTGATTCAAAAGCCGCGGTGGGCAAAGATGCGAATCTCCCCGTTTACGTCTGTGAGGCTCAGTTCATTCCTGTTGTTGATTGCACAATGCTTGCGATCCTGCAATGCAATGCTTACTTGGCCTACCAGCTGTGGGAAGGAGGAAGTGTGTGAAGGATACGTCTATGGTACAATTTTGTTCCAACCTTCGTTCTCTGCGGCTCATCAACGTCATCGTGCTTACCCAACATTCCTTCTGTGCTCACAGAGGAAAAATCCACTTTCGGTGATTCGTTGGTCATATCAAGCACTGCAGCGTTCTTTCACAATGCTCATGACGTGAATTGGACCGTTGCTTATGAGAATTTGAATCAGGGCATCAGTGGCTCGCACCAGAAGATGGAGATCAAGAAGGGGCTCTGAGCAGCTTGCGACTGCCGCTCCCATGGCCAAAAAGGTCCTCACGCACTGGATGCGGAAGACCGAGCATCAAGGGCTGGGGGCGGGTGTTGTTTAAAGGCTTGGGCGTTACCAGGCTAGCATGTCTGCATGTCTAGCTGAGTGTGGAAGTTGAGGTTTTTCACATCTTGACGTGTCTTGACAAGCCAGCTAGCATTGTGTCATTTCCCTACTCAAACGTTTGTACTGCCCCGCTCTGCTCCGCTCTGCTCGTGACAGCTTAGGAAGCAAAAGGTTCCTTTTGAGCATAGCGGCGGGCCATGTAGTGCAGCCTGCACAATCGAGCAACCATGGCCTCGGCACTATCTGATTACCATCTCAGAGGATTTTTGGGGGCAACAAAAGTCATTATGATAAGAGTCATGATGCCGCCTTCATGGATTTACATCAGCCCAGCTGCCATACCAGCACGATGAGCAGATTTCTGGCACGGGACATAAGCATGCGCGAGCACTGATCATGGAGGATTTTTCGCCATTGAACATCAAGAGGTGCTCCAGCGAAGCAAGTTTTATTCAGCTCATCGGTAGTGGAGCTTGTTTTGTCGAAGTTGGTGTTTATAGTTTCGCGGGTTTACTTCTGTCAGCGTTGTTCTGGGCACGATCCATGTCGAATCACAGAGGCTCTCACGCTTTGGTGATTTCTGTTTCTAGGATCCGAACAGGGTGGATCATGTCCTGCTGCTCAGAGAGTAGCTTTGTCTGAGCCTAGATGAGATCCCTGAAGCTGCTTACTTGAGCGAGCGTATGTTTGGAACCTGCAGCGCCTCAATTTGGGGCTTTATTCTGAAACCTCGTGCTGCAATATCATACTTCAGCCAACTTTGTATCCTGCTGAACGGCCCCAACCTGGAATATTGGTTGGTCCTGTGCCCTTGCATCCCAGGTGCCCGTGCGGCTCTTCGGCCAAACAGCTTTAGTGAACAATCTTACTCTAAGCTGTAATAGAAACGTATTACAAATCTCTATGGTAAAGCCAAATCTTGACTGGAGGCCCTAATGTGACTTAGGATTTTGGGTCACGAATGAAATTGGGATTTGTGGAACCTTGGAATCGCATGCCAGGTACTTTGTCTTGTCAAAGACTCGACTGTTCAATCCCCTCGATCACCTAACAGAGTCAATCAATAATTTTGTGAACGTGAAGCCAGGCCTGCCTGGTCCAAGCGGAGAGGGGCGCTCTTCGCGCAGGGGGCCGGGCTGAGTGTTGGGCAAGAGTGCAAACATTGATTTAGGGCAAGGCATTTCAGGCGTCGGTTTTGACGTTTTCATGCGGCTTTGGCTTCGGGACGCGCTAAGTGCATCGAGAAGTGAGGAGAATGGCGGACTTACCCTTCGTTCGCTTGAGCGGTTGATGAACAGCTGCTAAGATTCAACATGCGAAGCGCATCTCTGCCTTCCTTTTACGTTTTGCAGCGGCAGGGGCTGTTTGAGAACTCCCACTCTCGTGCGCATGCGTGATAGTTCAATCATCAGGAGGACCCTGCAGCAGGTCCCGTCCTTGAAGCCCACGCCCCCTGGTATCCCTTAGCACCGCAAAAACCGCCGAGAAGTGACACGTGAGTTCGACGTTTACCTAGGTGCGCCAAGCCTTGAAGTCCTGTAAGAAATACTAAGAAATTACATTATAACCATCCTTTCCTTTTCCTTTTCGCCAAGTTAAAGCATTAGAAGCGTTGAGGAATCACGGAATAACGGTGCATCGCCCAGGTTGGGCGCTGGAATTGCTGCGATCACTTGTGCTCAACGCTTAGTTTCTATTCCATACTTGGGAAGAGCGACTGTGTTCTTCTGGGCAGGGGCAGAGAACACAACATCAGCCACATGTTGGGTTTCAGCTTTTGGAGCCCGATCGCATCTAAGGTGGCATATCGCACCACCAATGAGTACAGCGATCGCTTTGATCCGGACACATTGTCAGCCGCACTCTCACTCTCGTCATCGCTTTCTGTGTCTAGCTACCCCCTGGGACGACTCGCAGCAAAGCTGTGAGCGCTGATGTGCGAGCCCAGGTGGGAAGCCTTTTGCGCATGTTCATGGAGACAAGAGAGGCAAGAAGCCGAGATGCCTGTTCTGATTCCGGATGCTTTGCCGTTCAGAGGAGCCCTTTACTATATCAGCCTGTTCTTGTCTTAAGTCTGAGAATCACATGGCAGAAGAGGTTTAACAACAGCGCTGGAAGATGTCTCGACAGTTGACCAGAGCTGCCGTTGATGGGGGTAGCGGCGGCATTCGTAGTAGAATGGTTTCTTGCAAGTCCTGCAGTGTTTCGCGCGTCATCAACAGGACACTTGATGATTTCTGATTGATAGCTTCTCTCTCACTTCTTGACTGACATGATTTTGGCAGTACCTTGACGATGCTGGATGGGCTGAAGAAGACGGGACCTTCGTCCCTCTAGACTCGGTGAGGCCTGGCTGCGTGGCGTCTGCGTGTAGCAAGACAGTGTCAGTCTGTGAAGCTGTCTAGTAAGTATCTTGCGACACTGCAAATCAAGGATGCGTGTTGAACGTGGGAAGCACTGGATTTCTGGCAGACGTGGAGATGAGCACGTTTGCGTAATACTACCCTTTCTCCAACTTTTGCAAGAGCGGCGGGTGTGACTTTGACAGTTTTGTAGGCCGTTTGTGCTTAGCGGCACCCACAGCGTGACCAAACCGATTGTACTAGACGCATTGTAGAATCTGTATAAGGATGCCGCCATCTCATCAACTTCAATTACTCAGCAGTAATCCCAGAACGCCAAGTCTCTAGAGCTTCAACCATAACTATCATAGCCAAACCCTGCATGTCGAGCTGCCAAAGATCTGTAGCAGACGCAGGCTTGGTGCAGACCAGCAAAGCAGCTTGGTGAGCGTCTCGAGGTGCTACGGTTGTCTAAGGCTGTAAGCCATGAATTGCAGCAGGATTGGGAGACCCTCGCAACTTCAATTTGCCAGAAAAAATGCTTTGAGGCCATGGCTTGTCAGACCATGAGACTGCCGCTACACAAGTCAAGTGCCATGCAGCCTGTATTCATATTTTTCTCGGTATGCTCACAGCTTGGACAGCTTACCTTAACAAATTGCTTGCAGGTATTTCTCGCGGACATCAAAGCTAAATGCCTGCGGCGCTGGCATTCGGGCGAATGCCTTAGGTGAGTGTCAATGGCACCGCCACATGACACATGTTGTCAGTAGCTTCCTACAATGGCTTTTCATTCTGCCCGCGGCATGCGCGGACTGAAAGTTCTATCCTGTTGTCATACCAAGGACGTCATGCATGTGGACGTCATTCTTCCCGGCGTCGAGCCGATGTATGTGATGGAGGCCGTGGCTGCACGCAGACAGCTGCCAAAGGTGCAAAAGCAACCAGCCGCATGTTATGGCAACACGACATCAATGATGCAACGTAATTACCCATACTAGTAGGATGACAGGCAGACGCCTGTGTTCTGAGCCTGTTTGCGACGGCCGGTTCGGCATGCAGGCGCTCTCAAATCCAGATTACAGACACTGGAATCCATCTCTACACGAGGCCGGCATATCCTTTGAAAAAGGTGTGCTTGTTAACGGTCCTTGTCTCATGAGGACCTCAGGATGCGTGTCTTGGAACAAGTTAGATGCCCACAGCCATATCTACAACGATGGGTGCGTGTGTGTGTGACAGGGCATAAAACCTCCAGCTCTATTGCAGGGGCGTGGCAACACGGCCACAAGTACTGTTCGCATGCCAGGCATTTATTGTAGGACCCTTGGAGTCAGCCAGAAGCGTCGGGCTTTCAAACTGTCCGGCCATTCTGCAGCTAGTCTTATGAACTTTCCTCAAGCCTGCTGAACATCTTTAACGCCGTCAGGTAGGCCCTGCTCGAGAACAGTTGTCTTGATAGTGCACAAAACACTTGGCGCATGTAGAGTCTGCATCTTGGAGAATTGGGTGAATGGATGATGGCAGGGAGCGGGTGATCATCTAAATGTGTATATACCATAATTAGATACCCACAGAGCATGTACATGTGAACTATAGTCTAAACTCCTTAAAAGGGGGTTAGCTAAGGGATTATATGGCGAATACTATAGTGGTTATCTAGGAGTTTAGATTACAGCTCATGTGTATAGAAAACCTGCGGCTTCCGTGGCCTGGCAGGTGACATTCCGGCGGCATCGCAGGGTTCCTCTCGAAGCCAACCTGAAGTCATACTTCTCACCGGAGGCCTTTAGGACTTTAGGGTTTAGCGTTTAGCAATAAAGGGATCATAGCAGATATATGGGGGCTATGCAGGGTTATAAAGAGGTATAGAGGGTTTAGGGTTCAGAGCTTGGCTGATTTAGACGTTGCCTGCTCATGAGAATCAGATGGCAAGGAAGTCTGCTTCGGTTCATGTTGAGCCTCGATTTGGCTGGAGTTTCTTCAGCTTGTTCAACGAAGATTTGGACATGTGGTGTTGGGTCGTCCGTTCGAATTTCTTTCCGATCTTTGAGGAAGTGTTGAAAGGCTCACCTGCTAATTACAGGTTTTTCATGACCGACGAACTGCAGACTGCAGGCCCGAACTCAGAATTGAAGCCTTCCAGGGGTGTGAGGAGAAGG